ACCCCAACCTATTCTCCACTTCATTCCGACAGATCATATAATAATTCCCCAGATACCCCCCAAATTTCCCAGGAGCTCGATAATTTTATTACCTTACAACAACAATTAATACACTCCAACACCCTCACAATACATCAACTATCATCCACAATAACATCCTCAAATCCACCTACTCCTAAACCCTCCTCAGCTTACACTCCATCATTAGCACAATCATCCACATCCACCGAAACACCTATTAGCACTCACCGAGCTTATCGCACCTTTAAACGAAAATTTCCAAATCACCCATTCCCAACCAAACCCGGAACAGCCCGCGAATATATTAATCACCCGCACACACCAACACGAAAAATTTTCTTGAAATCACCTTACCCTCATTTCCGCAATATACATTAAATACACCTAATAATACTAATGATACACGCAATTTTGTAGATGAACACGTTTTAGTGCCAACACTTCATTGGACAGCTTATTATAATTTTACTAACCCCCTTTGCCTACCACTAGCTAATACTCATGACAGCATAGAAAAGAACAAAAACATGTTATATAGACTCACCACAACACTAACACCTCGACAATTTACTTACGTTGGATATAAAAAATTACTAAAAACATTCACTGCACCCCGAGCTAACGAATTTGCAATAGAATAAAACGATCATAATATCATCCGCCCTAATCAAGATCAATTTTTAGATGAAGACCGCTTCGCAAACCCGCCAATAACAAAAAAAATTTCATCAAAACATCATACGTATTCGCACTTAATATTTTTGATAGAAAGTATGACCACATTATTTCAGAATTACTAGCTGATATTCAAGCATACGAGAGCTTCTATGATAAATTTCAGTTATTTTCACTAACCTTTCACTTTCTTTCACCACAGGAACGCGATTTGCGCTGTTCCCACGATATTATGTTACGCACTAAACAAACGCACACATACACATAGTATCGTTTTATACAAAATCATTTTGATTTGCACACCCCGTCAAGACAACCTCACCATCGTTTTCAGTTTCTAAACTCAAAGTACACGTCACCATTTTTTCTTAATTTTACATATTGCATTAAAAATACTAACCTCCACGGCATCCTCCGCAACTATGACCCAGTTACCCAAATGTATATATTCTGTCCCATCACGAAGACCTTCAATGCCGAAGAATCCAGACCCTTCCTTATCCCGCATGAATTTATCCAGCCTATTGAAATACCCATATTAGAATTCATTCACAATACTAAATATAATCATAAAGTATATAACCTCATCCAAAACACACCTTACGAGTTTGCAGTAGGCACCGAAGAACTAAACACCCTTAAAGCACTACAATTGCTTTGGCCACTGCTACAAACTAAAAACATCATACGCATACTAGCCAAATTACTAACAACATCAGATATGATTCACGACATCTTCCCCCACGGCTTTTTCCCCAGAAGATTAAGGTAAGTATAATTTGAAATAAATTTAACTAATAAATTTAAACTTGTACTAACCATTTTCTATCATTGTTTGATTTATATTTTTAGTCTTCACACCACGATCATCTACAAAAAAGAAAAGAAAATTAAAAATACAAATTTGTTAAATCATCTTAAAACTCATTAATTTCTTGCACTAAATAATGTAGTAAAATTCATACCAAATGTAGTAATTTTATTTATAAATTATTTCCCCATGAAGCAGTAAACTTAGTTACGATGAAAATTTATAATTTTAAATTTCCCCAAAACGCAGTAAAATTCAAATTCTATGCAATAAATTGATAAAATGAGAAAGCAGTACTAACCTTTTCAATATTTTCATTCACTCGCACAAGAACTTTATGCAAACTCGCACAGCTCGCCCACAAAGAATTGTTCAAATAATGGTTTTAATTTTCAAGCTTTCACTATCAACAACTCTAACACACGATAACAAGTTTCAAATTTTCCTTTAACCCGGTTGGAAAGGAATTATATACTAAACCAAACTAACCAACGCAGCTTACTAAACACCACAAATCATAAAATAACAGCATGACTAAGAAAAGAAAACCAACGGTACCCAAACTGGATTAACCCAGTTTAAAACTGGATAATTTATTCTTTTGACGACTATTATAAAGTCTAAAAAAGAAATCATAAAACACAAAAAAAGTCGCAAGACAAACCCATACCAAAAACAATTTGATTTTTGAAAAAAGGACACAATTAAAGTATAATGAGAAAGACCAACATAAACCCAACATAAAACGTTATCACATAACAGGACCTCTCAAAGAAAGAGCATGAAATCATACTCCCACTCCTGGCCTAACCCACCAGAGAGGACGTCCTGAGCATGCTCTATAGCCGGCCTAACCCACCGCGCTACGTCCACGCTTTGTGACCACACTCCTATTTTTAATAAGAGGTACTCAAGGGTGAGTAAATCTTCAAAATAACCAAACTAAAACAAAACGCTTTTGTGAAAACGACTAACTAAATTCATGATTAAAAAACCGAATTAACATAATTTCATAAAAGGTAAATCATACTTTGCAGTATATAGATCATACACAACAACAAAGACAAACATCCAAAGACTAGATGATCCCATCACACTCGAACAAGAGAATGGCAAAACACAACCGACATGCCGTCCACAGTCACAACTCAAAGGATTTAGAGTACGACTTGACTTCGCAGAAAAGGACTTCATTGAACTAGAACAATGACCACCTCGATGTTCAAGAATACGTACAGATCCGAGTTACAAGGCATCCCTTCCACACACGATCTTCACGCCATTCCCAGACGAGGCTGCACACAAAACAGTTCTCTAGTAATACAGAAAAACCTGACATAGCAAACCATTTTGAAATCGGATTGATTTCATTGGGGATCACAGTCGTTGTCGAATGACGACGTAACAATTTCCTATCCATAATTCCAGCGTCCTGGAACGTTCTTCTTCAAGAGGAACCGGATAAGAAAATGATGTTCGCCAAATACCAACATTCATCATCCATCCTTCAAATTGCAGAGAAGAAAGATAGTTCTAAAAAACTCTGTAAACCCTGGATGAGTGGAACCTGATCTAAACTACAATTTATTATTGGATAAATTAGATATTTTACCACTGTAAAATATTTAATATTAACCAATCATAATCCATCCAACTAACAACCCACTTATTTGTAAGTGCTGAAATTACTTGTAATTTCAGCACCAGAGAGATTTGAATTTAACTTAGAAATTAGTTACCTCTCCAAGAGAACTTCAGCAGTTGCAATAAGCCAGTATACTCTAGATCTATTGAGCCTAGCAGAGACTAGTTAAACACCCTGAGACTAGTAGATATAAGAGTAAGATTAGGATCGGTATTAGACTAAGAAGTTGCACGAATCTATCCGGCCGAAAATAAGACAGCGTGACGAGCAGACGGTGTACCCTATCCGAAATTACTCTATGAGTTAACCACATCGGTCCTAACTCAATTGACAGGTACTTTTCAATTTCACCAACAATCTAACATATGTGTTTGCTCCAAAAATCCGTGACAAAAAATACCAGTAAAAATGCCTCCCAACCATAAAGTTGTGGCTTAAAAATCGACTGTCCGTTTTGATTTCCAAGATGACCTCTTGTAAATAAACCATAGCTTAGTTAAGCTTAAAAGTTAAGCATCCGGGTTTTGCCTGCGCCTGATTTGAATCAACAATCAGCTTCCACGAAGAAAATCCAAAAAGAAGTTTCTTCCCGTCCGCTGTTAACTTATGCCTTCTTCTTCACGGGTTAATCAAAGTTTCTAATCATACAGTTTTCAGAAATGATTTTTCCGAAAAGCGTTTTCTCCTTAGTTCAAAAATATATATATTTTTGTCTTCGCTCAATATAACCAAGAACAGTAACTTCTAAATGACTAGTAATTGTCTACTCGTACATGGCTAGTAATTGGCGGTTGAAATCTGTTGACTGTTTTTTTTCTGACAGATAAAAGTTGATCTTGCCATAGAAAATGAAAAATAATAAATCAGTGTTCACACAAGATTCATTGTCAACTTGTGGATATTTGTATGAAAAAGTCAGCGTGGACTACATAATAGAGCAAATGCACATTTTTTTTCGGAAACTATGTTTAAGAATCGAAGTGGCTTTGCTACTAAAAAACTTTTGGCCCTGAGGTTTAGAAATTTTACTCTGGCATTTTTAGCGATGTAACAAATGCTTGTCTGTCACACAATTTCAATATATATGGAATTGTATGATAAGCATTTTTCTTGTATGGAGGTCAACCCGGGTTCATGATCATCATGTATCCCACGTACATCCTATACTTCACGCATTTTCATCAGATTTGCGGTGGTTTCAAAATGAGTAGTTTTATAATATCTAAAAATTTCATTAAAAAAATAAGTCTGAATGCTCGATTTATGTTTTAAAAAATTGAACTGTTTTGACAAACAATTAGTCTTCTTCCTACTCATTTGCAATTACTGGCGTGATTTCTGATTCTCGAAGTTATTATTACAAAAACAAAGTTTGTGTTTTATTACCAGTCTACTTTCTCTATAACAACTCTGTCTGGGGGTTGTGATAACTATAAAAAAGCGATGGGAGCTTGATCTCCCACTTTTACAATTTCATTTTCCAGCTCTGTTTACCGCTCTTTGCTTGTTTTGTGAAAAGCAGCTTAACCTTTTTCAATTTTTTGTTCAAGTCAATTCGAGATTTTTGCGTTTTGATTTTTCTATTCTCCGTCATTTTTTGATGCCTCGCAATGATTGGTATTGGAGTTTTATTAGAAAATTGCTACGAGTGGTAACCCCAAACATGACATGAAATGAAAAATTGTTCAAACTGAACTGAATCTCAGTAGTAATATAATGTTTCATTATATAAACAAACCTCCAAAGAAGTATATAAAAATGTCTTGACTAATCAAAGATGTTTGAATTCATAGAAATTGGAGGAAGTTAAAAAAAATAAATTGAATTAAGTTCAAATTGAGATACCACCTTTCGACGTGTTCATTTGTCCAGGGGTGGGTGTCTACTTCTTTGTTCTTGTGTTCTCTTTTTTGCTCTTTAAACGGCATCGAAGGCGGCAACCCTTCTAAATAGGCAAATGATTAAAGCTTACCTACTCAAAAACCCCTCATGGTGGCGCTGCTTCAAACTATTGAAAACTTTTATTAGTTCAATATTCAATAACAGTCCCTGCTAAATTAAAAATTGTAGCCCTTGTCATCATTAATCTCTCATTTGAAGACTAAGCTATTTGTTTGAATACCGCTACAAAAAATTAACCCAGACTAACTGGGGCGGATCTAGGATTTTCTCAAAGGGGGGGGGGGGGGGGTGGATTCTCAAAAAATTTTGTCGACCTTTTTTTTAGGTCGACAAAACTGACTTTTCGAGCTCCCCCTTCAAAACTAGAATATTAGAATATATTGGCGCCGAAGGCGCCTCTAGAAAATTTTTAGGGTCCGTCGCCAAAAATGGATATCTCAAAATAGTACAAAGGGGGGACCCTTTGGGTCGACAGGGGGTCGAATCCCTGGGGGGGGGGGGGGGCGTTCGCCCCCCTAAATCCGCACCTGCAGACTAATATAGTTTTACTCCATTTCCCCTAATAAAGACCAGAGAAGGTTCATATTAGAATTATCGATTTAAACGTTAAATACCTTACCAATCGTTATCTTATATAATAAATGAAAGTCGGAATGCGCTATGGACGCAATGTTTAACTGAACGCAATGTTTTAGCTTCGTCGAATGCAATGCTTAAAATATTCTTTACAATTAACGTTTAAGAGAAGGCAAAGAATATTCTTGAACTCTCAAACTTTCTTAAGTCTGGATTATTCTAGAATTTTTTTGACAAAATTTCAATTCTATAGACAAGATGAACTTCAATTTCAAGGCTAGACAGTGCCTGTCCATTTTTTTCTCCAAAATTTTGTCTTTTCAGATCAATTTCATTCTGAAAGTTTCATCGCCTGAATGGCTCGCTTAGAAAAACTAAAACGGCTCGCCAGTCGATTTGCTCTGTGAACTAACTTGACATATTTCAAAGTATCACCGCATGACTAGCGCTCTCAGAAAACTTTTTGCCAACCTATTCGGTCAATGAAGTAACTTGGAATATTTAAAAGTTTAGTAGAGGTCGAATCGCTTTCTGAGAAAAACACAAGCTTTTCGCAAAACGATTCGGTCTATGAAATAGCTTGAAATATTTCTTGAAAGTTTGGAAGAAAGTTCGGTTTTATAAATAATTTGCCATCTATCAAGTTTTCATAACTATAGAGTAGCTTGCTAAGAAAAACTTCAAATTTTTGCGAACCGATTCAGTCTATGAATTAACTTGTAAATTTTCTTAGCTTGAATAGTTTTCTTAAGAAAAACTACTTGCGAATTGATTTGATCTATAGAACAAGTTGAAATATTTTAAATTTTTATGGCAAACATTGCTTGCTTAGAAAAAGTCAAATTTTCGCAAAGCGATTCGATCGATGGAATAACTTGAAATGTTCAAGCTTTAATAGCTGCATTAGCAGGGTTAAGATGAGCTTCAACTTTTCCCAAACTGATTTTCTCTATGAAACAGTTTGAAATAACTCAACGTTTCATCAATTGAAAGGCTTCAATATCAAATTTTGAAGATACTGCAATCCGATTCGCTTCGTGAAGAAACTTAGCTCGCATAGCTTGCTTAGAAACACTTGTTTTTTTTTGCCAACTATTTTGGTCTAAAAATAACTAAAAATTGTTGAAAGTTTCGTGGCTTCAATAGCTTTTTTATTTAATTTTCATCGCATAAAATACTTCGGAAAAATAAACTTTAGCCACCCGACACGCTTCGTCAAATCGCTTGAAAATTTTCAAAGTTTCATAGCTTGAATAGCTTGCTTGGAAAAAATGAAATTTTTTTGCTAACTGATTCAATTCATGAAACTGCTTGAAATATTTGAAATTTTTATTGCTGGAATAGCTTGCTTAGGAGAAATTTTTGGCATCCGCTTCATGCTAAATATTTTAAAGTTTCAAATAACTTGCTTAGCAAATCTTGAACTATCGCCATCCGATTCGCTAGATAAATTTACTTGAATTATTTCAAAGTTAACTAAGAGCTTGCTGAGAGAAATTTAAAATCTTGTCATCCGACTAGCTCTATGAAATAACTTGAAATGTTTCAAAGTATCATAGCTTGAAGGGTTTCAATCGGAATTGTTTTTGCAAAACGATTCGGTCTACGGAACAACTTGATATATTTCAAAGATTCCTAGCGGGAGTAGCTTGGTTAGAAAAACTTAAACATTTCGTCATTCGGTTCGCTTCACGAAATTACTTGAAATAATTCGAAGTTTGTTCGAATGAATAACTTGCATGAAAACTAACAGAAACTGGTTCGCTCCATGATACGACTTGAAATTTTAAAAGTTTTATAACTGGAATAGCTTGCTTAGAAAATCTTGAATTTTTCCTTAACCAATTCAGAGGTTTTAAATAACTTGAAATATTGCTTAGTTTCATAGCTGGAATAGCTTGCTCAAAAAAGGAGAACCGATTCAGTCTATGGAGTGAGTTGAAAGTTTTTATCAAAATTTCATCGGTTAAATGGCTCCAATAAAAAATATCTAAACCTACCGATTTAATTCATGAAATAGTTTGAAAATTTTCAAAGAAACATATCTTGAATAGCTTGTTCAGAAAAAGTTGATTTTTTTTCGAAAACCGATTTGGTCTATGAAATAATTCGAATTTTTCAAAATTTCGTGGGTCGAATCGCTCCAATATAAAAACCTATTTTTTCGCTATCCGATTTCGAAGTTTTATAGCTGGTCCAGCTGGTGTAGAAAAACTTCATTTTTTCGCGGACCGATTCGGTCGTTGAAACTTATTTTTTTTCAAACCCATTTACGATATGGGTCAACTTGAAATTGTTTTGAGTTTCATAGCTTAAATAGCTTGATGAAAGCAAGTACTACTTTTTGCGAGACAATTGGTTGTTGGAGACGGGCTTGCTAGTATATTTTAATTATAAATGCAGTAAAATAAATGTCGTAGTGAGATAAAAGCCGATTAACATACTCAATTTGAATAATTCTCTTTGATTTAATTTATTGCAGCCTTTGATTTCAAACGCCGCATTGACAATTTTTGAACGCGGAATTGGCAAGTAGCGATTGGTGCTAGTGCAATAAACGGATGGAGCAAAAAACCGAAACTCGAGCTATAGTATCATAAGTTAAATATTCTCCCTATGCAGCATTCAGTGATCGATTCATTCCAATACAGTCGGTGTGGTCACTATTTGCGCAGCAAACAGTGTTCGGTTCGCTCTATTCCAGATCGGGTGGATGGGTTGGACATCTTTTTTTTGTCAACAGTTATTTTCATCTGCAGTTATTTGCATGCATAAAAGATTGCCGCATGTTGATTGGCGCACTTGGGACCAGCCGTGGCCGAGTGAGGTAAGGCGCGCGTCTCTCAACAAGAGGGTCGAATGATCGTATCTCACTTCGGTCACAGCTGCAGGGGGTCTTAGTGTCATCCGCCTCCACAAGGTGGGACCGGCAACGGTAGAAAAAAAAGATGACATCACCCTCCGAAGGTTGGTCCTGCATTGAATGGGAAAATGCTAAAAGACCGGTATTCGTAAAATTAAATACACAAGCCGGCTAGGCGAAGTGGCTTAATTTAACAATCTACTTATATATTAGATGAAAGTCGGAATGCGCTATGAACGCAATGTTTGAATGAACAAAATGCTTCAGATTATTGGGAGACAATGTTTAAAATGCTATCGAGAGTAATGTTTAAAAAGGTAGATCCAACTTCAAGGCTAGATTAGATAGTAACTGTTTAATTTTCGTCCAAAATTTAATTTCGTTTCTGTCTGAGACTGGGACTGTCAAAATTTCAGTCTAGAACAAATCAATCAAGAACAGTAACCTCCATGCTAAGAAATAAACTTTTTGCGAACCGATTTGGTCTATGAAATAACTTGAAATAATTCAAAAAATCTTAGCTTAAAAGCTTGCTTAGAAAAACAAATGTTTCACGAACCGATTCAGTCTAAGAAATATTTTGAAATAATTCAAAGGTTTATAGCTTTCAAATTTTGCTTAGAAAAACTGAAACTTTTCGCGAACCGATTTAGTCAACAAAGTAACTTGCAATATTTCGAAGTTTTATAGCTTTAAAAGCCTGCTTAGAAAAACTTAAACTTTTCGTGAACCCATTCAGTCAATGGATAACTTGAAATAATTCAAAATTTCTTAGCTTTAAAAGCTTGCTTACAAAAACAAGTTTTTCAGAAATGGAAAACTGATTCGGTTCATGAATAACTTTGAATTGTTTCAAAGTTTCTAGCCTATAAAGCTTGCTTAGAAAAACTTCAATTTTTTGCAATTTGATTCAATCTATGAAATAACTTGAAATATTTTGAAGTTTCACATCTTTAAAAGCTTGCTTAGAAAAATTGAGACTTTCCGCGAAATTAGTTAAAGCCCGTTTCAAGTTGTAAGTTTTTTTTAAAGAAGTAATATCTCATTTTTTTCGGATTCGTGGTTTTCATCCTAGTTTCCGATGCTTTTATTTCGGTTTTTTTAAACGCCACTAAAAAATGGTAGATTTTTTAACAGCTTACTTTTAACAAAAACATGCTACAATTTAAACATGCTAATTTTTGTAAATTTACCAAGTCTTACTTTGAGTTTTTCACAAATCGTTTTTCCTTTAATAAACAAACAATTTCAGTTTATGTTATATCGTCTTAGTCAAGTTATATTGCGTCATTTAGAGGGTGAAATATATCAGTATGCAAATATGTGTTTCAGTTTGGATGGGTCGTAATATTTTATAAAAGTTATGAATTTTTTTATGACAGCAGTTTTGTTTTTGGCTCAACTGGTTTCGACTCAATATTTGTCGCCTTTTTTGCCGCTCTCTAAATGATTTCCAACATTTTACAAGGCTGTTTATGAACTTCATCTGATACAAACATGTAATTTGTTAGCTGTTATTTTCCAATTTTTGGCAGGTCATTTTTTCAAGTAATTTTTTCAAACCTAGTATTTCAGATTTTCTTACTTCTCTTTTTTTTCCATTC